TTTTTTTTCCTTCTAATTTTTTTCAAAATTAAAGACAAGATAGATGGAAAGACAGATCATCATACGATGACAATCTATTAAATTTGACAAGCAAATCTAACAAACTTAATAATTGATAGAATTAATAAATAATCTAGTAACGATTAATAAATGTAACGAACGATCCAATAAAAATTAACACATTGAATAAATAACTTAAAAATTCATTTAATAAATAATCTTTCCATCTGTCTTCGTCAATGCAAATTGACAGCATCGAAATATGATATCGATCCGTAAATACTGTCGTTTACGTAAACATTCGTTTTTATATATATATCGAATCAAAGACTGTCCGTATTTTAAAATAATTTCTCACGACTGTTCTTCGCAAATTTATTCGTTAATACCGAGAAAATTGCTATTTATTCCACATTGAATGAAATTTCGAAATCAAATGAGATTAAAAACATCGCGTTTTGACAAATGAAATTGAGTTTAAACAAACGTTCGTTTACCTTTCGTTTATTACCAACTCGTTTCACGGTGCGCTTCATCAAACAACATGTATCATTGTTATTTTTGCTCGTTCGTAACGTGTGCTTGCGTAGAGCCAACTAATTAGGGAGCCTAAGAGTCGTTTTCGTGCGCGTTTACAAACATACGCAGACTTACGAAAATATCCGACGTACGAAATATTTTGAAATTTTGTCAGAATCGTCGTGATTACATTGGTATGTTTAATGGCGAAGCTTAAGACTGTCGTGATTATATTGACGAGTTTAAACCTACAAAAGTATACAGTGGTGCTTAAATGAAAGAAAATTCGAAAGATTGGCAAGGGGATCATATTTGTTGGAAAATATTTAACAAATAAATGTAAAATATATATTTTAATGTAATACTTGTAAATTTTCTTCTATGTTGCAAGAAAGCAACAAATTACAAAGGTATTTAATCTTTCAGTTTAATAGTTTGGGATTTATAGTTCAATTTATACCAAATTGGTAAATGGAAGTGAAATTCGGGAATTATATAAAACCTTTAAACAATCAGCACGTAATATAACTATTAATTTAAAATTAAAGATGGCTGCAACGGCCTCAGTAATCTGCTTAAGGGTTAAACAGTCATTAAATTTCTTTTGTATATGTATAAATTAATTCTACAAATTCGCGTTCATCCCAAATAAACGTTAAATATGGTTCAATTGAATATTACAGTTTGTTAATACGATAACTGACTGTTTAAATAAATTCATATTTGTAGAATTAATTTTGTGTAAATAATGAAATTCAACATATAATCGGTCACGAAAATTTGTTTCTCATGTTACATCACAAATAACACATTTATTAAAAAATACATTGGCGGATAAAAATCATTATTTCTCTCGAAACCTTAATGTGCTACAAGGTGTAAATAAATTTCGGAAAATCCATAAAGCGAATGGAACATTTTGTACACTCTGCATGCACATTACATTGTAATTATGGTAAATTTATGTTGATATATTCGAATCATTTTTCCAGACTCTCCATAAACAAATTACCTAACAATTTATATTGAATATAATTTTAATGAGCTCTATCTTACAAATGTATTAATAAGGCAATAAAACATATAATAATACTGCAGAAGATATTTCCAATTCTCTTGAAATATCTGAATTTTGCAAGCGTATTTACGTAAACTTTTCGTGAACTGATCATAAATATTGATCTGAAATTTTTGCATAGTAGTGTATTATGTACGTCTCGAACGGCGTGGTCATTGAAACGGAACGATCTGTTGCAGGGTGCAGGTACGAGGGTCGTAGATACCAAGAGGGCACGTCGGTGGTCACGTCCGAGCCCTGTTTGCAGTGCAGGTGTAACGACGGTGCGCTCAGATGTCGTCTTCGAGTTTGTCCACGACTACCAAACCCACCACCCATCGGATGCCGCGTTCACTCGCCAGGGGAGAACGTCTGTTGTCCGGAATTAGTTTGCGACGAGACACGTTAGTACGATTATTTCATGAAAAATTTCACGATTGTTTTGTGAAAAAAATTTTCCACTGGCTATATACTATATATCGACTGTATGTTACGAAAATATTTTATTTCGAATTGAAATTATTTTAGAGTAACAATGTGTATAATATTGGTGAATAATAAGAGAAATAATTATTGGACTGATGTGATTAACTTCATATATTTATCTTCGTGTATTAATACGTATCTTAAAGTATTTAAATAATTATTAGTGCCGATAAAAACGGAGATAACAATTTCTGTGATAAATGAAGAAAATTCAAATACAGAAGACCAGAGATCATCGGAGATAATTGGATGCATAAAAATGTAAAATTGGAATTCGAGAATTAGAAACTTAATGAGAATTGGATTGTGAAAGAAATTTTTTTTTTTTTTGTGCAAACAAACGAAATTCAGAATGTAACTAAAGATGATTAAATGTTAGAAAAGTAAGAACTCGGAGTTGAAAATCAAAAGTGAAAATAAACATTAAACACCGAATTAAAAATAGAAATTAAAGTTAGAGGGAAAGATAAAAGGTAAAAATTAAAGTTAAAAGCGAAAATTAAATTAAAATTAGAAATAAATTTAACTTATTTAAAAATCAGCTTGAAATAAATTAAATTACAAAGTTTCTCTATGATGAACAAACAATATTCAAGGGAAATTCAATGTATGTGAAAACTTTCAGGTGACTCGATGAACATGCTACGAAGGTCTAACGTTCACGTGGAAGAAGGGGAGAAGACCGAGGTACCCCAGAACTCTCGTTTTCAAGGTAATTATCGCACAACTGTGGAGAATTTCCACGGAGAATTAAATACAAGTGAATTTACAGACAGTCGAAACTCGATGAGTAACAATTCCATTGCAACTCGTTGTGGTGTCAAACCAATGTGATTATTGAAAATAACGTTGAAATATTATTATCACGACATAGTTGATAACGTTTTGAACGGTCGATGCTTATTTTTAGCGAATATATAGAACAGAGAATAATTGTTGTGCTTATGACACGTGGATAACTGTAGTTTACACCTTCGTCGTTATCATAATCTACGATATGCTACTGCGGCCTACAATTTGAGGACTATTATTATCCTCCACTTCGTTGATATTATAGTATAGGACTTGAGAATTATCGCTTCTATAACGTACGATTTAGAATTTGCTGCCACAATCGGGCTCCACAATTTAACCAATGTTGCAATTAACTCTCGTAGGATTTCAATTTTTTCCGAAAGGGGTTTTACTAGCCCTTCCTGTTATTTCTCCACCCTGGCAATTTCCCAGAGATTCTATCTTCTTGAAATTAAATAAGCCCCTTGGGCTTTGAAGTTCTTCATTCCAGATCTTTGTTGATCTTCGTTCTTTCGACAATTTCAAATTAGAATTACAAATCAGAAGCGCGAATTATGTTCAATGAATTAACGAACAAACGTGACATTTCAACAATTATGATCTTTGATTTCAAATTCTTACAATTCAGTTCACATCTTAAGGGTGAAAGTTTTTTAAATTATAGAATGTCAATCATTTTTTGAAAATTTCAGAAAAATTCGTTTGACTTTGATCCAATTTTAATTTGATTTTCAACACACAAAGTTTATGTTCAGTCATTGAATTCGTATCATGTTCACTCACACTAAGCTATTTAATTTAAATAATTTAAATGAATCTTCATTCGCAACGTGAGAAATATAATGGAAACGAGATAATGGAAAACCACACAAATCTTCGATACGCATAATACGATTATCAATTTCAACCGAGATGATTTATTTCACTGTTATCGCTTCAACGTAAATAAGTAAAATATCCTCTCAACATATAGAGCAGTTACCACCGACGTAACGTAGTTTGAGAAAGTTACCAAGGGAAAAGGTATAGATAGGAGGCAAGGTAACTCCGTCAAAGAAAACTACGTTCAAGAGTGGTTGCAGTTAAAAGATTCAACGCGGTGGCTGATGGTCGTTGGTGTTAACAATCAGGTTGCTTGCACGAGGGCGTGAGATACGGGCCTGGCTCGGCGATGATGGGATCACGTAGATGCGAGTACTGCTACTGCATCTCTGGCACGAGAAGATGCATCAGGCCAAAGTGCCTTCTGCCCCTGCCAGGATGCACTCCGTTATATGCACCGCAGTCTTGTTGCCCGGTTGCCTACAATTGTACTCGTAAGTGTCTTATCGTTCACCTGTAAATACAAGTCACACCGGTGAGGGTGGTGTAATCCATAGAGAGTTCTCTTCTTTGCTCTTGTTATTGTTGTTTCAGATATCCATTTCTCGACGATGGCACCGGTCACGGGAAACGGTGAGCGAAACGCTTCATTCATTCACATCCGCCTTCTCTTCTCTTTCTTCTTACTTCGCGTTATAACAGATCTTAGAGACTTAATCTTAAGAATCGTAATTACGAAGCTTTCTGATCTTTGCAATTTTAGGAAGAGTCTTATTTGTTCCCTCTAGTCTTCTTTCTTCTGCCTTCGTGTTAGATCGCTAGAGGCATTTTATTGATTTAAGCGAGATGTTATTCTGATTTTTGCAACGGTGAGCGAAACGCTTCATTCACATCCGCCTTCTCTTCTCTTTCTTCTTACTTCGCGCTATAACAGATCTTAGAGACTTAATCTTAAGAATCGTAATTACGAAGCTTTCTGATCTTTGCAATTTTAGGAAGAGTCTTATTTGTTCCCTCTAGTCTTCTTTCTTCTGCCTTCGTGTTAGATCGCTAGAGGCATTTTATTGATTTAAGCGAGATGTTATTCTGTTTTTTGCAATGTTAAAAAGAGTTTTATTTATTTTCTCTTTTTTTTTTTATTTTTCTTCTTCTCCTCGTGTTATAAGAGAATGTAGGTTGTATGTTAAGGTTTCAGCGATTTTTCATTTAACAGTTACAATTATGAACTATTCATTGATTTCAAGATAGAAATGACTACGATTCTGGCATTTATAATTTTAAAAAATGAGATTTTGGTCTTAGAAGGTTTTATTTGAAGTGTTTCGTGCTGTACTCTCTGAATGATGGAGAAATAAAATTAATTAAATAGAAAATCTTAGAGTACTTTATGTTCTGTTACTTGTGAATGTCTGTAAGGAGAAGAATATGAAAAGAAATATGTACAAAAAGCAAGATTCCTTTATTTATTAATGCATCTCTAACGTAAAATTGAATTGTTCACATCAGTATACAAAATTAATTATTCGTGTTACAGAAAAATCATACAAAGAAACTACAAGAAACGTTGTTTGTCCATTTATTAACGAATTGGCTGAATTATTCGCATTTAAAAAAGAAAAAAAAGAAACGAATCTCGAATGGAACACTTGCTCTAAAATTTACACCGCATAATAAATAAATATCGTTCATTTTCGTTTCAACGCTCCGCAGACAGTTTAATGCATATGCAGTACTTCAAAAGTGAAAAACTTTTATCTTGCACAAAGGGAAAGGACTATTATAACTAAGAGAAGGAACAGAAAAGTGGTATCTCGCAGCGATGAGGAGAAAGAGGAATTCTTAAAAAGTCCTTCGTAAGGATAATTAGATGGTACTCGGCACGCGATAAAACCTGATGCAATTTAAAGGGATTAAAGTTCGCCATGCAGCGTCCCGCTGATTTTGTGCTGCGATGCGATTTTTCCTCATAAGCTGAGCTTAAATTTAAACTCGGCCAGCAAGTCGAACGAACGAGCGAGCTAGAGAGAGAGAGAGAGAGAGAGAGAGAGGAATTGAGTGAGCTTGCAGAGAGCCAGCCAGCTTCTTCTAAGGCGAGCTGATACAGCGACCGAGGCAAACTTTCCTTTTTATCGCGTTAAACTTTTCGTTGCAACTTTCACCGGATAGAGAGGGCCACGGTGTGCTCTGCTCTGTCTGAGCGGCTTTTCAGAAAAGACGGAATCGAACTGACTGTCTCTGCTTGCCAGACGATCATTAACGTGGTAAAAAGCACATCGTCCTTCGAAAGGTATCAGATCGTTGCGCAAGTGTGTCAGAATCATTCGGAATGTTAATTTATTGGATTCGGAGCTGGAGACTTGTTGAATTTGAACATGGCCGATGGTTCGCCAATTATTTTATCACGAAATGCTCAGATTATGTATTGAACGATTATATTAGTCAAATTATTAATGAATTCTTCTAGGAAACTTGAAGCTTGAAAAACTTATAATTGATGCAGTTATAATAAAGTTATAATTAATACCGAAAAAAGATCTGCGTTAAAAGAACGGAACGATCTGCTGCTCGTAGAGAAATATTTAGATTGGAAGCTATAAACGCGAACAGAACGCAAACATAAATGTGGAAAGGTGGAAGAAGTAAATTTTGAAATTTGAAAGTTGGTCCGAAGGAGATGCCTTGCAATGTAAAAGCAATACATAATCTGAAAGCCGAAGCGGCGTAACCGAGAGAGCCGGCGAAAAATGAATTTAAAAAACAATCTCTGCGGGCAAATTGAAAAATGGTCCAGAAATGGTAAACAGAAAAAGTCGATCGCACGAAACCAATCAAAATAATTCCTGAAACAAAAAAAAAAAAAAAAAAAAGAAAAAAGAAAAACAAACACAACGGTGAATTTAAAAAAGTCGACAGATACCGTAAAACAAATGTCAAACAAAAAAAAAAAAAAAGAAAGGAAAAAAATTACAAAGTAAATAGTCATCGAAATATTCAAATAAAAATACGCGGAAGGGATTTTTAAAAATAAAACGGCATACTAATAGGGAGGAGCCAGTAGATAAAAACATCAGTTTCTAAGCTTAAAGGACGCGGAAACAGAAATTCGTGGAAGTAAAACAAACGTTGCACGTATTCGTTCCGTGCGTCAGATTTGCTGGCGAACATGATTTCTCATTTCCACGGGAAGAAAAGAGCGGCGGCCATCGTAAAATTGAATGAAACTGGGCGTTAAGTGAACGAGCAGAGGAAACGACGGCCGCTGCCGTGAAAATCCTTTCGAGGCAGAGAGTATCACGGGAGAACGTAACGTCGACGAGCAGACCGTGCTTTTATTGCATTAAAACGTTTCCCTTCGACTTTTCTAATACGTGGGCACGTGTGTGTGTGTGTGTGTGTG